CCCCCCCGCCGGGGGCGCCCGCCGCTCCGGCTCCGTTCCGCCCAGCCATGGATCCCGCTTAGCTGCTTCCCTCACGGGGGGTCACCGTTCCCTTAAGGCTCTCCTTACATCTGACAAGGACATAAAAGTCAAAGCGGAAACCTGCTACCGACTGTACCTGATCGCTGGTGGCCGAGGCCTCGTGACGCTCCTCGCTGTGTCGTGGTACCTAGAGGCAGCCCTGGATTGCTCTGCTTCTGTGTGCAGTTGCTAAAGGAGGATTTCTTTTTTTTCAGGCTTCTTGGTGGAGGATGACAAATTTCAAATGTGGTTGTCAAGGACATAAAAGTCAAAGCGGAAACCTGCTACCGACTGTACCTGATCGCTGGTGGCCGAGGCCTCGTGACGCTCCTCGCTGTGTCGTGGTACCTAGAGGCAGCCCTGGATTGCTCTGCTTCTGTGTGCAGTTGCTAAAGGAGGATTTCTTTTTTTTCAGGCTTCTTGGTGGAGGATGACAAATTTCAAATGTGGTTGTATTAGAAATACTAGAAAAATAATCTTTAGAGAGAGTCATTAAGTGTGTGCACGCTGCGAAGGAGCAGATCTTTTGCTGGGACCAGTGCTGCTCCCAGCTGAGCTGTCATCGGGACTGGCGACAGGCAGCAGAGCCAAGAGCGTGCCCAAAACTTAGCCATGAAACTTAACAGACATTCCTGATTCTTGGAAATCCGTATTTTGTAAGTGGTGGGGGAGAATGATGTATAATCACTTATTTTAAATAAAGTTCTTTTCAAATGTGGATTTTGCTGCTTCTGAGGCTGGTGAAATGGTGCGTTCCGGATTAGAAGCGGGCGGCCTCAGGGGCCGCGGTGGCTCCGTTAGCTGCTGCGTGCGATAGCGGGGCTGGGGACAGCGGTGACAGGGACAGCAGGGCCGGGGGCGGCTCCTCCGCAGGGGGCTCCGTGTCCTGGGCAGGCGCCCGCGCGGGGGCTCCGGCCCCTTCCTGCCCGCGCGGGGGCTCCCGCCCCTTCCTGTCCGCGCGGGGCTTTTGCCCCCCCA